ATTGGTGGAGGGTAGAGCAACAGAAAAATAGTTTAGGTGGACTCCCACATGGTCGACCTTGGTTCAAGTCTAGGACATGGTGGCTTGCTTTCTCACTTTCCTCTCTCTTGCTCTGTTCCCTCTCTGGTCAACTTAAATAGATAATAGATAGATAGATAGATAGATAGATAGATAGATAGATAGATAGATAGATAGATAGATGATAGGTAGATAGCTAAAGATAGATGATGGATAGATGATAGATTTAATAAATAATAATAATCTATTAAAATAAAATCATTTTTTTAAAAATGTAAACAAAGTCTAGCAAGTGAAGTTTGGTAATAGAGACTTTAAATGAGATACAGGGGTTGAATTTGGGAATCAGATGATATAAATAAGAAAACCCACAAGAGTGGAGGCCAAAGGGTGGAAATGAGTCATGATAAGCATTCATCCAAGTTTACCTATGATTACATCTGTTATTAATAAAATAGCATTTGAAAAAAATGAGAAAGTATTTAGTGGCACTTCCGAAGAGATAGAAAATGCGTTGTTTTCATAATTTGTAACTAAGTAGCTGTTTTAAAGTCTATATGGGGGACAGAAATTGTTGCGCTACCAAATGGGTGATACATGCTACACTGCCAGCTATGAGCCCCATTCTCACAGGTCCCACTATAAATTAGCTAAAATGAAAGAAATGGGGTGTCCAACTAAGGAATAATACTATATATAAAACTAATAAATTTAACCCTCAACAAAACATTAATATATAAAACTACTAAATTTAACCCACAACAAAACATTAATATATAAGGTAGTTAATTATATATTGTTTTTCACCTATTTTGAAATCTGATGTGTTTCTTGGGAGCAGAGTAAATAGATTTGAGAGACAGATCTGAGAAAAAAATTCTTAAAACAATTGGGAGTCAGAAGTGACAAAGAGTGTTTCATCCATTTTCAGGCAACTGAAGAATTATCACAGTTTATATGAACTGAATATTTAGCTGGCTCTGGATGTAGTTCAAGTGGAGATTATCAGAGCCTAAAATCCCACGTCAGTATGGATCCTTACTACAAATAGAACGTGCACTATTCCTTTTGTTTGGGGTATCTTTGACAGTGATACCTATATGTTGTGAGAATGTTGGCCTGTTTAACTTTTGTAAAACACGAAATATGTCTGTTTCCCAATGACTTAATCAGGAGTCATGGATTCTCTTATAACACCCTTGCTATAGGTTATGATATTCTCAAAGTCGCTGATTTAACAGAATTCTTTTCAAACTTAATCAAAGTCTGTCAACAGTAAGACCTTAACTCCTTTGGGAGGAAGACAAGCAGAGCAAGAAAAACTGCAACGAAGAGTGTGAGTCACCATTGCCAGGTGATGGGCTCTTACCTTTCTACTTCTGTTTTCTAATAAAATTTTCTTCTTAATCTGAACCCAGTCATCTCAATAAATCCTTTCTAGTAGTTGTAATTGAGCTACAAATTCCTTCACAATCTAGGACTTCAGATAAATCCAACCCAACTAGTCTCGGAACATGTGAAGAGAAAATCTATTTACTCTGCTCCTAATGAACACATTAGCTTTCCAAATTAGAGGAAAACAATGTATAATTGACTACCTTTTATATATTGAATATATTTCTCCACCTAAGCTATTCCTTAACTTTTGTCTTCTCAAGCTTTCTGATGGTTCACAGACGGCCTCACACAGCAAATAGAAGCCATTGAGCATTTACTTTTCAAATATTCCATTTGTTTATTCCTTTGCTTATATTTTTCTTTTACTTTTTTAGTTTGTTATAGGACAAATACTTTTCAAATATTCCATTTGTTTATTCCTTTCCTTATATTTTTCTTTTATTTTTTTAGTTTGCTATAGGACAAAAGCACTCACTAAAAAGAGGCAGAGAGAGAGAGAGGGAGGGAAAGTAATAAATCATTCCCTGGTCAGGGAAGGGGTATGACCACATTGCAACCCCTTCCCCTCCATTCTATTCTCAGGACTTTGGGCACGCATGTATATGTGCCTGATGTTTATCAAGCTTCTGGGTCTGGGACCCAAACTGTCCTGTTAGCTATATGGTCTCCAGTTGCCTCAGTCACCATCCTACCAGCTGGACTCCATACTTGTAGAGAGGTTTTCTTCTTTGCCCATGGTTCCTAGAAAAAACATTTCTATATGTCTCTATGTTAAAAGAATTTTTAAATTTGTACTTATTGAATTAGTATACTTAAATTTAAACAAATTCTAGTAAGCTTACTACATTAGATATATTGATATATTCAGTATGATTTATAACACAATTGCATTTTTTAAATTTACCCCCATTTTCTTTTCCATTTATTCTCCTTTCTAACTTAATTTATACCCTCCACATTAATTTCATCTACTGATATGAAGAGTTAATTCTATTGGATTCAATATTCATTATTGTACAGATCCCTTGGAAAATTAAAAATGCATCATATAATTCTCTGTGTAGCAAAGTGAAACATGAATACTTTTGAATGCTTCCTGAATATAATAGTAGACTCTGCTCTCCGCACGTCACATGTTCTCTGTGTACCGTAGTTACCTCAAGCTGTCCTTTCTGTTGTCATTTTTGTCCTGCCAAGGCTAATTTGAATATACCAATATGTTTTCTAAGTTCTTCACTCACCACTGCTTCTTGAATCTTTATTCTTTTAGAGTAACATTCTGATCACACAACATAAAATTGATCAATTTAATAGGTATAACTTGAGGGGGGGGCAGTCTCCCTTGATGCTGGTTCAAAATGACCTAAGACCATTTTTCTAGTTTCCTTTTTAGAGGCATAGTTGTAGGCTTTTCTCAGGATCTCAGTTGCCGCTTCCCTGACATGTGTCTTTCCTTAATGCCATATGAGTATTACAATTAAAATCTTAGCATTCAGCATTTAAGATCTATTTATGGATTCACAAATAAGAGATATTACAGAGTGAGTTTCAAGAGTTTAAACTTATGTTTCTCCCACCATTTTTTGTCTGGTTTTGTTTCTTAATCCTGGTTCTTCCTGAGCTCAAGTTCCTTTTTTTCTTGTTAATTTCTTAACTCATTTAACTACTATATATTAAACATATATTAAGCAGATATATACATACTTTATACATGTATATGCTGTAATAAGTTCTTGGTATAAAACAGTAAGAAAAATGTAATATTTTCATATAATTTACACTGTTATAAATATAGAAATAGGAACGTATAAACAAATGAACTAGATATCTTAAGAAGTAATAACTATTGAGAGGAAAGTAAAACAGCACCTTCCCACGTACAGAGATTGGTTGGG